TGTGCTTCAGTGCCTCAGTGTTTCAGAGTATTACAGGATGTTGGTACAACACTACTTTAGTAACTCTCTCATTCTCCTTCTGTTTTCCATATTTTAAAAGATAAAGTATGTATCTAGTATGTTTTAAGAGAAAACTAATTCAACGTTTTGATGAAGAAAATTGTACTTCCTGTGCTTAAAAAGTGAGGGACTGCAGACTGCAGTGAAAATGAGGGTCTTCCCTAACTGAAGATGAGGGTGTTCCCTAACTGAAGATGAAAATCATGCATGACACAAGCCGCCATGAGCATCAGTAATGCCTCTATTCCACACAGACCACGAATCCTACGACTCACCACGAATTGATAAATTTTAGGATTCGTGAAGATTCGTGGAATTTTGCAAATTTCTTGTCCAAATCGTGACGCTCTACGATTCTGTTACGATACATGCAGGTACGATAGAGTTACGAATACTCGTGGGATTCGGCTCGAATCGCTCAAATATTGTCAAGAATTCACTACGATTTACAAGAATCGATTACGAATATACTGCACGAATGGTAGGAATCGGTTACGAATCAGTTAAGAATATGCCGAATGCATCTACGAATCAGGTACGATTAAAATTGAATTCGTGACTATTCTTGACAATTCGTGGGATTTTCCCTCAAGATAGGTATAGCCCTCACCCCTGCTTGAAATTTTGGACCTTTGGGCGTGTGATCAAGGCATCAGTTCCAAAATGGATGTTAAACGTAGAGCAGCTGTAGTACTGGCCCTGGAACTGGAGTATCAACACCAGCTGCTGAAAGCTAGAAGACTGCTTCTAAGAAGGAGAAGAGCCCCCAGGTGGTGGGTTGGACCGTGGCTGATACCATGCAGCTAGAAGGCTAGAAGATGGTGGAAGATGAGAATGCCTTTGTCAACTATGTAAGAATGCCACCCCACATGTTTGATGAGCTACTCAACAGGATTAGCCCAGTCATCCAGAGGAGGGACACCTACGAATGCCTACGAATCTATTATGATCTATTACGATCTATTACGATCTATTAAGAATCAGTTACGATGCCTAAGAATGCACTACGAATTTGTTACGAATTAACTACGATTTTTTGGAATCGAGAGTTCGTGTCCAAAATTTTGAACAGCTCAAAACTTTTGCCACGAATTCCCGATCGCTCAAGAATTGAAAGAACTTACTACGAATAAATGCGAATCAGTTAAGAACTTCACGAACTGATTACGATTCAACTACGAATTTATCAATTCGTAGCGATTCGTGGGATTCGTGGTCTGTGTGAAATAGAGGCATAACGCGTCTAGGCTATCCTGTTATCTGCTCTACATTAACTGTAGAAAGAGAATCAGGAGTGAATGATCGGATGTGATGCTGAAACACTGAGAGGCAGTATTGTACATAGCCTTATAGGATTTTTAGTAATGTGAATGTGTTGGAAGTCCAATAAAACGAGGATGTTTGACTCTGCATTGACCGCCCTGCATTAATTTCTACTCCCCGTGGTGTAGTGCGGGGGTGTCGTACAGTCTACTGAGACTGATCACAGAGTGACTGAGAGCCTCACACGACGGTAACATCCCAGTTCGCCTACTCCCATTTCGTCTACGTCCCAGTTCGCCTACTCCCATTTCGTCTACG